TTAAACAAGCAAGACTTTCACAAGGTCTCGGGAGAAAGATGGACAAGACTATTCAACATGACATGGAAGTCAACTATGGGATCCTTTCCTTTGGAAGCAGGCCAAAGAGATCATTGAAATAAATGGGCATCAAAATCACGACAGACACAAGAAAGTCATTCACAAGATTTCATCAAGAAATATTTACAAGTATCATTAAGGAAAGAAATCACAAGTTAGTAGTCAAAGAAGTTTATAGAAATTTAAAATTGAAATGGTCAAAATAACTGGTCTTCGAGAGATTTATCTAATCTCAATCTGATTGCCCCAGATTATCTGAATCTTGGAGCGGCTTGCCTTTAAAGGAGCTTGGAAACAACTTGCTATAAGATGACCTTAAGAAGGTGTGCCCCAATATTCTGAACTTTAAAGAGCTCTGCCCCTGATTCCTCAACTCTTTGAATTCTTAATTAACAAATCCTCTAAATTGGTTGCCACAGGCTGAACTTCCTTTACCAAGTCAAATTCCTTAGCTGACTGCATTTGTTGGGATTCCTTTGATATCAGATTATCTTGCAAACAATGTTGTTCATTAAAAAATTACAGTTTCAATGCAACATTCATGTAAGCTTTTGAAATCAAAATTTATTGGGAAAACAACACAATGGGGTGATTCAAAAATCAAAAACAAAGTGGATCTTGTCATTTACAAAATGATAGGTGAAGTGATCAACAAAAAGCAAAGATCATTATGAGTCAGGTTATCCAACTTTACTGTAGTATGCTTTCAAAATAACCTTACCTCAATTAGGTCTTTTAAAGGTTGTAACGTGGCTTGATTCACGGTTCATGAAACAAAGGATAAAGGCTCAAAGTTTGTTTGTACCCACCTAATCTTCATGATGAACTTCAATCATGCGTTTAGTTGACTCAGACTATACATTCAGGTTCCTATAGGTTAGGAAATGAACTAATAATAGTTGGTGAGGGTTTGGAAACCTAAGGCAATCACTACTACCTTACAACATTTGGTTGTTTTTATTCCATTAAGGACTTTCAGAGTGAAGGCTTTAAGGAATTCCTCTTTTTATTATCCCTAACTTTTTCATGAACTGTTTCTTTTGATGTTATAGTCAGCGGGATACCCCAGTTTTACTTAAGTCTCCTCCATAGGTTTTGACTTAGCGTGCTTTTTTTTTTTTTTTTGATTTTCCCTTTTGAGAAAGAAGGTGACTAATCATCATTGGCCTTTATGCTTGGAAAACATCTTCAACACTTGCTTGTTATATGTGAAGGAAAACCTATGAGTACAACCTTTATATGAAAGGTGTCTTGTATGCCCATATCGCCAAGTTAACTGAGAACTACCCACCCCAAGGTTGAGATTATGGTTTTTTATAAGGAAAGAAAACTCCTACTTCTAAGCTCGAAGGGGTTAACTAGGGATTATCTTTCTTATTTCTCTAGTGTTTGGGTATTAAAACAATGCCTCATATCATTGACAAAGTTTAATTGAAAGTAAACCAATAGCAATTATGGGTATAATGTTTTCGTCATCCTCCCCAATCTTTGCTTAAACAACAACAGTTTGGTAAAGATAAGTGGAAGGAAAAAAATATTTTGTTTGTTTTTAACAATGAAAGGAAAGAGAAAGAGTGAATACAAATGGACTTAATCAAAAGATGCATAAACATTTCATTAATCTTTCCAATTCAAAAAAAGTATAGCTTACAAGAAAATACAAATTCAACATGCAAAGAAAATACAATAGAAAATGTTGAAACAGTCAAAAGATTTCCAGCTTTGGGGAACTAGGTTTTCCCTTCTTAATTTTCCAACTGAGATAACCATCTTCAGAGTTGATTGTCGAGGTCATTCTGATAATTATCTTCGCCTCTACTCTCAGTGATTTCTTCCATAACATGGACTAATGTACCCACTTTACCAAGTGAAAGATTGTTGATTTGAATGCCTTGAGGTGTGAATGAGAACATCTCAGAGTCAATCAGACTCTGAACCTTGCTCTTAAGAACCTTACACTCTTTAGTTGAATGCCCATGTGCCCCAACATGATAGCCACATTGGGCATTGATGTCAAATCCTGGTGGATATGGAGGGATCACTAGATCTATCTCCTTCGGTACTATTAATCCACCTTTGATCAAATCTAGAAACATCTGACTGCATGACATTGGTAGCAAAGTGAAATGCTTTTCTAGCTTCCTTGGCCTTTGTCGGGCATACTGACGCAGATGATGGTGGTATGGCCGTTGATACTGTGGAGGTCTTCGATTTGGTGAAGGATGTTGCCCTCGTGAAGAGAATGGTATCTGGCATGGAGACCCAAAAGATTGTTGACTCTGATCAGTTGAGATGCATGAGCACTAAGGCTAAGGTATCAGAGACTTCCAGATGGAATTACTTTCTTCCTCCCATTTTTCTTGAGAATTGACAACTGATTCACTCTCACTAGCTGGGATGTTCAAGGTGCCTCGTATTTTTCCGCTCTTGAGACTGCTTTCGACGCACTCTCTAGCTATCACCAAATTAGAGAAGTTTTATGTCATAATGCTACACAGCTTTTCCCAGTACGGGCCTTGCAAAGTATCCACGAACCAGTTAACCAATTCTTTATCTAAGAGTCGTGGTTGAACATAAGCAGCAAACTCTCTCCATCTTTGAGCATACCCTCTGAAGGATTCATTGTCCTCTTGAGATAAACCTAACAACTGCAAGTGGCTGGCAGCCATGTCAAGATTGTAGTTGTATTGCTTCACAAAGGCAGTATCTAGGTCTGACCATGATTCGATGTTGCTACTCTCTAGCTGCATGTACCAATTCAGTAATGCCTCACTCAGACTATTTAGAAACAGTGGATCATGAGCTTGTCATTACGGACATGAGAGGTCATTCTTCTGCAAAACATCACCAAATGTTGCCTCAGAAAGCTATCCCCTTTGTACTTCTCAAACTTTGGTGCCTTGAACTTTGGTAGCATCACAAGGTTGGGCACCAAACACATGTTCAAAGCATTCAGATCAGCAGGGTCACGATCCTTAATAGCATCAAACTTTTCTTCTAACACATGACATTTCTCCATAATTTCAACGTATCGTGGATCCTTGGTTTTCATCACAGGGACTACTTCTTGGGAATCTGGCTTAGATAATGCGAAACTAAGGTATTCCATGGTATGAATAAATGAGGAATGTCTATCTCGGATGGTTATACGTTCTTGTATAACCTGGTCCTCAACAGGAATGTGCATAGGCTGAGCTTGAGCAAAATCGTTCATAGAAGTCCTCTGAATATTGTCATCTCTCTTTGCCAAGGCTGTCATAGCTTCCACAATCTGATGCAACTGATCTTTCATCAATTCAAAATCCGCTCTTGTCACAAATTGGTTCTGCTCTCCTGAGTTCATGATCCTTCAAAAGCTACTTCAAGTCCAATGTTGGCAGTAGAAAGTCAACTAGGCTATGGACAAAGGAAGAAAGAGACTCAAGGCTGAGAAATGAAAATTCAAATGCAAATGTGACGACATACGCATGGAATACAGATACAAGCTAGGGCTAGGATAAATGGTAAGGTAAACTGGTCTCAATCGCATGACGACAAGAGATAAAGGAGTTAAATGTTAGTTGTTAGTGGTTAGAGGGCTCGACAAGATATCATATCTTGTGCCTATGTATCCTGACTAGGAATGAAGAATCAGAGCCTCTGTAGTTCGCCTAACTAGGGATGAGAAACTTTTAGTAACGATCAAGATTCCAAGGGGGAGAGTAAGTATTCATAACCATGACACCTACATGAAGTGAAGCGACTCAAAACCTAAACTAGGTTAAACAAGCCAGACTCTCATAAGGTATCGGGGAAAGATGGACAAGACTATCCAACATGACATGACAGTCAACTATGGGATCCTTTCCTTTGGAAGCAGGCGAAAGAGATCATCGAACAAAATGAGCATCAAAATCATGACAGACACAAGAAAGTCATTCACAAAATTTCATAAAGAAATAATTATAAGTATCGTTAAGGAAATAAATCACAAGTTAGTAGTCAAAGAAGTTTATAGAAATTTAAAATTGAAATGATCAAAATAAATTCTAAATATTTACAAGGATTAATCCCGAAGATGAAGTGAAAAGGTATTTTTTTTTAGCTTTAATATTCATTTAATGACTAAGACTAATAATGTGATAAAAATCTAAAACAAAATAAAAGATATTTTCTAACAATTATTTTTCAAAGTAAAATCAAAGATTATCAATAAAATATAATTAATAAAATTCTAATCAAAAGTTAATTATCAAACTTAATTAAGGACAATTAGTAAAAACTAATAACTAAGAACAATTAGAAGCAAAATTTAAAAACAAGAATAAATGGATCAACATTAAAAACCAAGAACAATGGAAAGGCATGGGGTGTGAAAAAGAAATTGGGCTTGAGACCCAAAAGGAAAAGACATGGATGTTGGGTCTGGTAGCCCAGACCCGTTTGGATTAATTCACTAGGCCATGAAAAGAAAACTAACCTAAAATGAAATTGTAGCCATTGCTTTTCTAATTTTAAGCAAAATACACGCACGACAAATGAAGAAATAAGGGAAGAAAACAATCAACACAAGGTGAAGCAGCACACGCTCAAAAGTGAAAACTTCCTTTCCCCATTGTGAACCTCTATCCGCAACCCTCTCTCCTTCACTCACGCCTCACTCTCCGTTTAAACTTTGAACTCTCTCTCTCTCTCTCTCTCTCTCTCAGATGCGGTTCGCTTTCTCTTTTCGTGGCGACGAACGATTCTGGCGGAGCTTTCTGGCTAGTTGAGTTCAGTGTGAGTCCATGTTGTAGTGCCTTCAAGAATTCACAGAAGATTGATGAAGGGTTGGTTTCGGAAAGTAGTGAAGTCCGGATGTTTGTGGTTTTGTGGGTTCACAGAAGATTGAGAAGTGAGGGGCGGAGGATGATTGAAGGAGGAAGAGTGTCTTTTTTTGGTGGTGATGTAAAATAAGGAAGATGGTGATGATGCAAGGAAGGAGGGAGTAAGTTGTTTTTCGTTCTTGGATTTTCCCCTGTTTCTTCAATTTTGTTTCTTCAATTTGTTCCCCTTTATGATTCTACTCCTTTCTCCCTTTAATCAATTCAAAGACTGCTTTTTTCCATTTCTCCAATTGTCTGTGTTTAGACTGCTTTTTTCAATTTCTCCAATTGTCTGTGTTGATAAGTAGTTTTCAAAACACAGGTTGTTGCAGGATTTAGCTTGTGATATGGTTCAGGTTTGCCGCATAGAGTTTGTCGTTATTCGTAGATTTTTTGAGCAGGGTAGCAGGAATTGGCTTGTAGTGACGGTACAGTTTTGTTGGTTGGTCTGTAAACGGTTTGATGAAACTGGCTTACAAACTCGTTCCCTTGAGTGTTGTTAGAGGAATTCAGCTTGCACAGGGTTTTTCTTTTGCTTTGACTATTGTTAAATATGTTTAAAATTAGTTCAGAATTTACCAAAGTATAAATCTTTAAATAACAGGGATTGGGTTTGGGAGTAGCAGAGTTGTTGTTTTTTGTGAAGTTATGCTGCAGTCTGCGTGCAGGAAGCCAATCGCAGCAAGTTTGTTGCTTTGTGGCATTTAGGTAGCAGAAAATTTGGCTGTGGGTGTAAGGTTTTGATGTTGCGTTTTGGAGGTTTGTGTAGCGCAGGCTTGTGTAGTAGATGTGCAGGCTTTGTTGTTATTATTTTGTATTATTGTGGTAAATCTTGTAAAATAAAGAGACAATGATTATTAAACTAATGTTAAAATAACTGTCACGCCCTAATTTTTGAACCTAAGATCTCACTTTTTTACGTATTATCTTGCATAACATCTCTAGAGCTTAAGTTTTCTGCGCATGTTTATTGCGACTAACCAACTTATATAGGTGCAGCATTTTCCAGTGTAGTTCCTAAGCAATCAAGCATTTCAGGATATAACTAACCTACCTTTATCCTAAAAGTCTGTTATTGGTCTTTCTATTCAAGGCTCTTCAGAAGGTTTGAGAAAATTAGAGCATCCACCACATCCAGACTAAGTTTGGATCTGATACCAAGCAATAAAAAAGGTCCCGCCTAATTTAAGAGGATTTTGTTCTTACGCATGGAATGTAATCTTCTTTTGGTTCCCGTGGGTTTAAAAGGAAAATTCACCTTCATGGTCAAGATGAAAGGTTCATGCTTACAACGTATTTCAAGAGAAAGGCCAAGTATTATGACCATTCAAAAGGGCCGTTATGAAACCAAGTTGTATGTGAATGCAATATTCAACTTTCAAGATGAAGCTTTATTCTAAACTTAAATTCTTTAATATTTATAAAGGATGTCCTCCATGTTCACCAAAGTTTTCAAGATCCAAATAAACACGTAAATGCTTATGAGAATGGCTCGGTGTTCGATTATAAAAAGTCAAAAGCATTTACTTCGTGAGTCATATTATTCAAACCAAGAAGAGTTCTAATGCAAGCTCAAGCAAAGGAGTTTTGCTTACATAATCCAATAACCTCGAGTTCTATCAATAACACGGGAGTTTGGAAACAAGGCCAGCATGAAAGAAAGTATTTCTTTGAATATTCATGCTACATCATCAATTTAATATTTAATTACACACCAAAATCACAAAGAGGTCAAGACCCTTTCTACATTCACAACTCAAAATCTTTCAATTTACAAATTAAATCAATGAGTTCATGCTTATTTGAGTATAGATAATGTGGGTTGTCCACTTAAAAGTACATATTATATATACAAGGAGTTTATAGGATTGAACTTGGATTTTGGAAATAGCTATACATCAAACATGAGTGGCCAAAATAATGACGTGTTTCGCTTCTTGACGGTAAATCCGCTAAATTTTGCTCCTACTTGGGTTGAAACTGCATGCTGCTACAGTCTTCCATACTCTGCTAGCGCTGCATCTTTCTTACTTATTGTGCTGCTACGACTGTTGTTCTCTTATTTTGTTTTTTTGCACGTCCCATGGTTTTTTCTTTCTCTCTGTGTGAATTGTTTCCAAGCTGAAAGCCAACGGTAATCTTTAGTACTGTACAACCACTATTGATTGCAATAGCATTCATTGTTAGGACAAGACCTATCCCAAATTAAAAAAATCAATCCTCATCAATAGCCATGAATTGCAAGGAAACAAGAATCATAAATATTTCCAAAATAGTTCATAGACACCATGGCATAAAGGCATTTGTTAGTTCCCAAACATGTTTATTCAAAAATGGAAAGGATGTTCAAATCAAGATCACAACATTATATTCCTCCCAAAATCAGTTGGACACATTTATGTTTGAAATCAATGATTCGGAGCCTATAAAAGCATGAATAATCCTTTACACGAGGGGCATCTTTTCCACATTTCAACAGAAATCTTATACACAACAAAAATCCACCCGAAATCATATGCACATAAGTAAATACATGGCAAAAAAACCACATTTACACTCAGGTATGAGAAGCAACATGATTCGCAGGTAACATAATTAACAGAGAAAACAGTTCAGAATACACATTACTGGTTTACAAGATCAATCATATATAACAACACTGGAATAGAGAAGAAGGGTGTCGAAGGAAGCAATACCGTCGAAACCACTGGTTTCGTCGAAGCTACAGCGTAAGGATTACGTTGAGGTATGTGCTAAATCGCTGGTGTGTATTTTTTTCTGATCATGTTTTAACCATCCCACTCCCCCTTTTTGTGCAACTCTCGCTTTAACCTTGTGTGAGGGATTCAAATCTCGACGAGTGGTGCGAATCAGATTTGGATTCGAGGAGAGAGTGGGGGAGTTGAAGTCACGACCAAGGAAGAAATAAGAAGAAAAAGATGGCAAATGAGCATTTCGCAGGCGAGGGAGGCCACAGAAGAGCGGGGATATGAGGTTCACAACAAAGAGGATAGTTGAAGAGGATTAGATTCCGTTTCAGTCCACCTCCCATTTTTGGGTTTTTTGGTCTTGGTTTTGGACCTCGGCCCCTTTCCAGCCCAACGGTTTCTTTGATTTTTGTTATTTCTTTTTATTATTTTAAGTTTGGGCTTACTAATATGAGCCTGTGTTTTTTTTTTGCACCATTCCCCTTACTAATGCACCCACTTTTCTTTCCTTTTAATTCATTTCTGATTCTTTTTTGAGTTGTTGATGTCAAACTGGTAGTGAGTCTCAAATCCTTTTAATTTTAGAATCCCACGCTTAATCATTATTGAATTTTGAGTTTCGGCTTGAAGTCAAGATGCCAGGTTTAATCGTCTTGATTGAAATTCGTTTATCCAACGTAAATCCTACTCGAGTAGATTTGAAGGCAAGTTTGGTCCTATCTTGGTTTGGTCCTAACGTTATTTTTGATAAAGCCTTGATGAAGTATACGTAATTGTTGATTGTGGCCCCCTTTGACCAATTCCCGTTTATTTTTTATGAACTATTTCTTTAAGTTTTTTTACATATGCCTTTTGTATCTATCCATTTATCCCATTATATTTTGTACATGTTTATATCCAAGGGAAGAACCTGTGCATGGTTTTCAAGTCATACACACTGCATTGTTTCATCTGCATCATTTACCCCTCGCCTGATCCCTGACCCTTTTCATGTTGATCAGCTTAGATGCACCCTTTTATCATAAGATAGGCTCCCTTAAGATTTCAACTTAGATAACTTATCAATTAAACTCTCATTCTCCCACAAGAGAATTAGACATTATTCATCTTCGTAGTCGAGATATAATACTCCTACTCCATAACATAATCGAGAAAGATGTAGAATATTTTCCGCTTGAGAGGGGTAAGTGGCATACTCGTCGATCAAATCCAAGTTGGATCCCTTCTCTCAACGCGATGTAAAGACCATCTTCCATATGCTTGTGGTGGTTTAAGTTGAGTATTCTCCCTAAGATGAAGACCTGTCTCTTCTTCTAGAATCAATCGATAAACCTTATTCCCCCTGGAACCTTAGCCACAGTCAAGAGTTCCTCTGATTCCACTCCCGTCAAGATACGTAGGCACAAGATGTGACTTTTTGACGAGCATACTTAAAAGTAAACCCCTTAGGTCTCTCACCCTTAGCAAACAACGATAACACAAATATAACAAGAGGTTCCTATAGAGTACTACGGATACTTAGGATGCTAACACCTTCCCTAGGTATAATCAACCCCCGAACCTTAGATTCTCTAGCTTTGCATTGCATTTCATACTCATGGTTTATTCGATCGTTTTCCCTTCCCTTGGAAAAATTAAAGACCGGTGGTGAATATCAATCTGTGATTCAAGTTAATCAATAGCTTGATATCCAATTCTTACCGCGACAGAATTGGTGACTTCACTGGGGAATCTAACTCATCTTGAGGGTTCCCCTAACTTTTTTCTTTGTGTTTATTGTTTTATACCTATATGTATGTTTATCTATATATTTGTTTATGCTTTGGGTTGTTATCCATGTGCGCTGAGAAAGGTCCTACACCCGGATTTGAGTGTACTTATGATAGGAAGGTGATATATTTGAGAAGGCTTATAGGGAGTTGATTCCCGACCAAACTGACATGAGAATCACCGCTCAATTGAGGCCTTTTTGAAAATGGTACTGTTGAACGAGTATTTGTGAAAACACTTACTATTTTCAACCTAGGAGCCTGTGATACTAGGAACCTTTAGTTACCCTTAACTCTACTTGGCCTTTCTTATAACGTAGCGCGATGGCTATGAGGGAGTAGTCCCAAAATAGTTGATACGCGAGGCTACATTCAAAAGAAGTTCTCTTGAGAATATTGTTAACTACCAAGTATTTGGGAAATTGATAATATCCGAAAGATGGACTGATGACTTTGGGAACTTTTAGAATCCTTGTTCTGCAGGTACATTCAATCCTTAGTCCACACCATTTGGGGATGGGTAGACCCTTACTTCATACTCATTGCTTTTAAACCTAGGTTTTCTGTTTGTTTGTAAGTATATGTGTATATCTCTGTTTGCCTGTGTTTGTGCATCCATGCATTCATAGTATCATATTGTATTGGTTTCATGGAACTCAGAGTTTTATTTATGAACATCGCAAGATCATTATGAATTGCAAAAGAAAAAACACTTTGAAATATTCTTTCAAGAGTTTTAAATTGGATGACCTAAGGAAGTTAGGAAATATTCTCTCTAAGAGTTTGAAGATATTGAAGCATCTTGTATGTCAATTCTTCTGTAAAATCCTCTTGACGGTTCCTTCCCACAGACCATGTAATCTGGGGCAGAAAAGTTTGAAGACTGTTAGTCGCAAGAGCCGTTGCTCACTTGAAGAGGATTGTTATACTATTAATGGGGCAGAAAGATTTTGTTCTCATGATACCCTTTTGTCAGCTCTCCGATTAAATTGTTACTTCGGTCGATCTTGGGACTTCCCTTGGTGA